TACATGAAGAATGGGATTTTAATTAGATTTGAATGGGATTTTTTTCTGTGTTGTTTTTCCCCCAATTCAAGACTTAATTTTTTTGGTTTCTCCAAAATATATTTCAGGAAAAACATTTTCATTTGTTAAAAACAAGTAAGACCAAAATATATTACATCTATTTTCAATTTTTAGTTAACAAATACAGCTTTTAGTTTCTGTGTCACTTTAAAATGCATTTCTAAAACATTTTCTGTTTGTTAAATGTTAACAGTTAATTAAATTGTACATGATTTACACAAAACTGCTTGTGGCATTTCAGGCAGTATGTTAACAAATAAAAGGAAATGTTTAAAAACATGAATGTTGTTTTGATTTCTGTTGTTATAATATTAAATTTCTAACTATGTACAATACAGAATAAATGCTTTACAGTATTCCTTGTATAAAAAACAATATATTGGTGTAAATAATACAGTAAAATTCAGTTGAACAACAGTAAGGTACGGCATTTATAAATTACAGTACTGGATTGTAATTTTTGTTTACAGTATTAGTCCTGTAAAAACACAGTATGTGGCTGGCCACCAAGCTGCCAGTATTTTACTGTAAATTTACAACAAAAAGTTTTACAGTGCGATCTTTACATAGCTGTGCTTTGATGAGAAAGTGGAGGTTCACGTAAATGGATTTGGAATATTAATGAAGATGATATGGGTCATGGCAGCTCAGAGCGTCTTTTTTGCTTTGGTAAGAAAATGCTATTGAGATGCAGTGTCTAATAATCAGTGGTAGCTTCTTTTACCAGGTTAGGATGAAAACTTAAAGCCAAAGAGCCATGGAAGAAAACGGTTGAGGGATTAACGCATCAAGTATGTGAAAACTGATGAAAGCGCCTCAGTCATCTCCCTTCACAAAAGCACACATAAACATCTACTGCTGGCAGAACTCAGGAGAACAATGTGTTCTTCAAGAAGTTCATGCATGCTTAACAGAAGGAGACGTTGTGTGAAAATCAAACATATGAATATTGTGCAGCTCCCAGTGGGGGGTTGAGTCAAAGTAAAGCATTTGGCCGTTGGAGGTGAAGAAATGTTAATCCTGATTTAAACGATCTAACACTTTACAAAATACGAGACAATTACACGGATAATTATACCAAGCCTTCACGCAGTGCCCGTGGGTCACAATTAGCATAATGTCGGCTTAACACAAGGAGCACTCAAGCGTCTCCAGGTGTGCCTGGAACACTGCTCATAAGGTGACGAGGGAACATACAGTACGGGGGAGAGAGCTCGTGGGGGACAAAGATTGTTGCTCTGACCACATCTCAGACCACATCAGATTTTTAACAGAAAATTACTAGTAAAGAAGTGAACTGAGAAAAACTGAAAAGTGTTGGATCTTTCGATGTTTAGCAGGTGGACCTTTGAAACAATCAAAAATTGCTTTTGTAAAGTAGTGTCTCTTACAGGATCCTTTCATACAGGATTAGTGCTTATCTAGATGATAAGAGAAACCGCTACTAACTCGTGATAATAAAAAGTCATCAATCTGATCTGAAATAAAGCCCCTTGAAAACTTATTTTTTAAAAAACAAATCAAACTCTCATTTTTAGTTGTGTGTCCAAAACTCTGGAATGAACTTCATTTTCACATCAAACAGACTGACTCTATTTAATATTTAAAATCATTTTTTTTCTCTTTAGACTTTTTATTTCACTCAGTGAATCTGTGACTCTCTTGATTTACAGAGGAAACGTACTGTTATCAGAGAACATAAATTTGGAGCGTTCAGAAGCTTCTGATGTGGTCTCTTGTTCAGGAGGTGTGCAACAGCTGAAAGCCATGTCTTGGGTACATCTGTATGTTGTGGTCCTTGAAGCACCAGTGCAGTCCACTATTTGTAAGTATTCTACGTATTTTTGAATAGGTTTTGTTTTACAATCCTCTCCATGGTGCGGTTATTCTAATTGCTTGTACACTTTTTTTCTTTACATCTTTTCCTTCCCTTCATCTCTCAATTTGTGTGCTAGAATACAGAGCTCTGTCAATAGCTTTTGTGTGTTAACTTCCTTGTGCAATGTGTCAATGGTTATCTTTTTGGTAACTGTCTAGTCAGGAACTTGTGTAACCTTCAGAACTAGACATAGAGACCATTTTAAGGTCTTTGTTTTGAGGTGATAAGAGTGTATGACAACAGCGGCCTTCAATATGGAATCTTTTCACAATATTAACACTTTATGAGATTTTGAGGCTCAATATATATATATATATATATATATATATATATATATATATATATATATATATATATATATATATACATATATATATATATACATATACATATATACGTATATATATATACATATATATATATATATATATATATATATATATATCTGTGTATAATGAATGTATACAATTTTTTCACTTTTTGAATAAATTCTAATTATACGACCAGCTGCTCTATATTTAATGATGTTCTCGTCAGCTAAGGGAGTTGTATCCAAATAAGATTAAGTGCCTTTTGTGTTTTTACGTTATTGAGCTGTAAAATGAACATCATGCACATGATTTTTATTAAATATTTTTGTCATTTATTTGATGTCATTCATTCATATTATCCTGCATTATTTTATTTGTAATACCCAAACATGTAGGTAACATTTATCTTATCCAGATATGTACAAGGAACCCGTTTGCTAGGTTCAGGAAATAACCCAAGAGGAGGGTGCTATGTTTACATGAAATCTGAGATATGTGTGTTCTGTCCCACAGTGGACCAGCAGTTGGGTTGTAAGCATCAGTAGAACTAGCTTTACAAATACAAATGAATCACAAAATTTAGAAGTGTTTATTGTAATTTAATGAACTTGTGAACAGAGTTTAATTCCACAATCCTCTAAAAAGGGCCTTGAAGACAAGTGGATGCTAGATCCACCACAGGACTGCCATCTACACGACCAGCTTGGTCTATCCCATTATATCTTTATCATCTCTATGTTCATGGCTAAAAAATTTGTCTGTACAGTATTTTGGAACTGGAATCATCACCCAAGCTGGTACGGATATACTATATGAGTGTTTTTACATTCACAAAACAAACATTATTCATTAAAACTGTACATGTGTTGACATGCCATCTCCGATCCCTCACTTGGAACACTGACCATGGGTATATTTGATCATTTCTTTATTGTGAGGTGCCTCGTCAACTGAAGTTTTGAAACTTTAAAAAATTTGTACCTCCCGACCTCCATCATATCACCTGAGCATGGATGAGCTTGGATCAGGTTTACATTGGTCCTCTATTTTTCATCTGCCTTCTATCAAGTGGTGCACTGGAAGGAGTCAAGGTCAAATGCTAAGACAAAGCCACAGCCATGGATGATGACTGGTAAAGGAAGTGTGGCAATGTGGAAAGGAGCTAGTCGTGTCAATGTGCGTTAGCATAGTGAGAAGAGTTAGTCCAAGATTATGTGCATGAGTTTCCAAAGTTGCAAATAAAAGCAAATATCAAACATAATCAAATAAACAAAAGAACCAATCAAATAAAAAAAAAAAACTTCCAAAGGAAAATAAAGATTCTCATCTGCAATTATTTGCCTCTGACTACTACATCCCAAACTAAATGAATTAATCGGCTCAGTAGCCCATTCTGAGACATCTGTTCATCCATAAGCACAGCCGTCCTAAACCAACTAGCGATTGAAAGGTCGACTGTGCATTACGCCCAAAGACCTCATGATCCGTCTCCATCCTCTGCATCTAATTCTCCGTTTCAGTGTTTCTCTCACTCTCCAAACCTCTTCATTTGGTATCTTAAATATATGAAGCAGTTCTCATTAGCTAATTAACTCTGTTCTTCATCCAGTGACTAATTCATACTCATTAACTAATTAAGCTATCAATTAACTCATGCCCCGGTCACACTACTCCTGAACAATTCCAAATTTCACTGTGTGCGGTTGCGTGCGGTTTGAGCCCACCTACACACAGCGTCAATAAAAAACAAACAATTCACCTTGTAACTCATCTCATTTATAACAGGATACTCTCTCATCTGCTTTAAAGTAATACAAACATCCTAAAAATGTACATTTGCTTCATTTGCACCTCGCCAATGTGGTGGCTGAAGTTGCATCACATGATGTGACATCACAGGTCAAAGATCCCCCCAGCTGAACTGTCCATGCAGAATCCCACTGCAAGAGTTTCCGCTTTTCGCATGCAATCCCATTCCCCTTAATTAATCAAGCTCATTTAAATCCTAATAAACTTATTAAATTACTTAAAACTCTTTCTTAAAACTTCAGTTTCAGCATGAGTGGGGTGGTCACACTTTCTCCTCAGCAATGCGGAATTTCACAGCACCTCCTCAATTTGGGTCTTGATCAAGGAGCAGGTCCTGACACTTTCAAACATGCAACTGTAACCCTTTGCTAAAAAAACCAACTGGATGCAGCAGCTGATAGAATCGACCTGCTACTCTTTTGTTGTTTAGATCATGTGAGAATACTGGATGGGGTAGTGCTGATGTGGTTCCAGTTTAATTTTAAAAATGTGTTGAATGATGCTATTTTTCCAGTAATTGCACAGGTCTGTGGAAGGCCGATTTTATTTGCCATACTTGGAATTTGTGCTCTGCATTTACCCATTCATGAGTTCACCAACCTGACCTGCCTTGACATGAAGCATGGTTACATGCTACAAGGAGGACTGTCTGAATGTCAAATGTTGAATGTATGAACTGGCTTAAATGCGTATGAGATGGGTGACATAATCAACCAAAGTTGTGGCAGATCCTGGTCCCTCGTCCTGAAATTCAGATTACAACTGTCACTTAAAGGACAGACACACAGCAGTGAACAAACATACCATGGACCATACCCAGAGCAGTGGGCAGCCATGTCTGTGCTGCCCATGGAACATTGGGGGGAACTTGAGACTTGTAGCCGCCACTGTTTTGGTTGCCAGAGGTGGGAGAGATTGAGCTTTTTAGCACTAACCCCACTTTGACTCCCAGGGTATCGAACCAGCAACATTCTAATCTCCAGTCAATCTCCTTATCCACTAGGCCACAAGTCACACACAATTTAGACGATCCCTTGATAACTGATTTAAAAAAAAGTACTATGTCTCGTATCATATTTATGCCAAAGACTTGAAGATTGACACCTCAGTCTTGGTGGGTCGGTTGGTCAGTGGGTTGGCCTTTGGTCTGTCCTTCGGTGAGAGGGTCAGCTGTTTCATGAGTGAGTCTTTGGGTGGGTCAGTCAGTTTGTGAGTGGGTGTGTTGGTGGGTGGTGTCATTCGGTTGGTGGGTTGTGGGTCAGTTGGTTGGTCGATGTTTCAGTCGGTTGGTGGGTTGGTCCATGGGTCTGTCAACGAGTCAGTTGTTGGGCTTGTCAGCCAGTCTTTGGACAGTTAGTGGGTGGGTCAGTCAGTCGGTGGGTTGGTCGGTTGTTTGGTGGGATGATCAGTTGTTAACATGAGACTTCAGAGTTCAGGTTTCTGAGATTTTTACAAGCATTAGAATATTTGTTAAGATATATGTCAGAATCATATAACAGTATCCTTTTAATGATTAGGCAGCAACTGTAAAAACAAAGTATCAATAAAGCTTCACGTACTTCTTTCATTACAATACTGCCGAACTTTCACACTGGTGTTTGTGATTCGATGGAACGGTTGTTTTTTGCTAGTTTGTGAGCCGTCGTTTTACCTCTGGGAACTGTTCCTCCGAAGAGGTTTGTGGAACGCTTCAGCAATCCCGTGCACAAATGTGTGGGATTTGTGGATCAAAAGAGAAAGGTGCACAGACAGCCTGAAGAGTGCATGGAGTTAATGTAAATTTACAGGCAGGAGGCTGCTGTTTCAAACGTAAAAAAAAACATTGTCACTATCAGAGTTAACACTCTTGAGTGGTGTGTTCATCCTCGAATGCCTTAGCTACATGTATCTGGCTAAATAAATATGCAAGTGTTCTCAGAAACACTTGTACATGGGAGCAACCATGCTTGACCACCACATATCATACTTGGCAAAAGAAGAAATTGATCCAAGTGTGAAAGCAACCATAGTCATCCATTCACCTGAAGGATGATTTTTTTTGGATGGCAATGTAACCTGTTCAAATGCAGAGAGAACATGTAAACTCCACTTCGAAAGTACACCAGCTGGGACCTCCTAACTGAGCTGCGCTGCCGTGTTTCTTAGAGAGAACAGAAGCAACTCAGTTGTTTTCTCAATTGACCCTACTGGACCTCAGATAAATGATGGCATGTTCTCCACACTACTGACCCCTGCTGAGATTTACTGTTGTCACCGAAGTGCCGTGTAGTCACTGGTCTATCCGAGAGAGTGTCTGGCTGTGCTCCAGGCCCTGGGGGCCGCTGTCACGGACATCATTAAGACTTCCTCTTCTTGAGCAGCGGGGCCCCTTGGCAACACTAGAGACACAACAGGGGGGTTAAACCAACTAAAGGCTGCTAAGCTCGTCATGCTTGAGCTTATAGACTCCTTTTGCTTGTAATTCCACAACCCTGCAATCATTAACCGTTTTCAAACTGACTCCATAGGACATTCAATGCGCTGCCAAAGCAATCAAGCTAATAAATTAATTCCCCACAGCAATCATAGCTCAGTTCATTTGCATCACATTTCTCCAGACCAGCATCACCAGGAATAAAGCGTGAGATGTGTTTGGACGGATGATAAACAAAAGCTGCTCGCATTTGAACTGGCAGACTCAATGGTGCGCCTCCCTGCTGTCACTTATCCAGGCCTCAAAGCCGTTCCAGTGCAGATCAGGCCTTCTGCTGGTTTCTCTCATCCTTGGGCCCAGACCTGCTCTCTTGTTCCTTCAAACAACTGTGACTGTTTTAATTCTGCTCGCTGATTAGCCTGAATCAATTAAAATCGCCATGCTGGGCCCAAAAGCAGCACAGCATGGGGCACTTAGAAACACATTCATCAGCCCCGGCCTCTTAATCATGCTTTAATTACAGCGCGGCTCTGCAGAGATGAAGGGCTACATTAGTGCAGTGTTTGTTCCTGCAATGCGAACAGTACCGGTGGCTCCCGTGAGCAATTTAGCACAAGTCTTGTGGCTAATCACCATTTTTCAGGCAGCTAATAGAGTTTGAAGTTGTGGCTCTCACACAAACAAATTGCAATGTTGAGTAGTTTCACTAAAACTACCTTTATTTTTTGGTCAGGAAATAGAGGTTCGTTTGAATATCTGATACAGATTTCAGATCCGTACAAAACAGTCATAAAAGACAAACTTAAGTAATCTTTTTTTCCATTGTGCTCCTCAGTGTTTGTGTGATCAACACGTCTCATGCTCACGTCATTTTCTCTCTAATGTTGCATTCAGATATAGAATCTCAATGCCCATAAATATGACAATCTTTTAAAATGAATAACTAAAAATAGAACATTTCCATCACATGGAGCATGCTACATGCTGATTTACACATTTATTTTGATTTATCAATAAATTAGAACCTCAAGGCACATGATTCATAATTCCAGATCCTTTTGGTGTCTGGGTTTTTTTTTTATTATCACCAAAAAGAACAAATATTTGTCTGAGTCATTTGTCATTCTATAAAATAATTGTTACCTGTACACTATGTAGGTATGAGACTGTTTTCAAAATGCCATAGAGCAGGGCTGGGCAAATTCCTTCTTCGAGGGCTGATGTCCTTCCTGGTTTTTGTTCCTGCCCTGCTTCAGTACAACTCCTGGCAGCTTTAAATAAACCAAGAAGTGCTTGGTTCAAGAATCAGGTGTGTTTCATGAAGGTTGCAACAAAACTGTGTCGGGTTGCAGCCCTCCTTGCCCAACAATGCCATAGGTCCATAAATGTTAATTTGTGTGTCAATAATTACAAGTAAATTTGATTTATTCCTACAGCAAGACCCAATCTTGCACATCATTAACAATTTTGGAGCACACAAGTGACGCTCGGTGAAGTTTATGGCTGGTGAGGCACTGGCATCATCAGTAAGATTTATTAACATATAAACCCTACAGAGGAGTTTTTAAAGTTTTCTCCCTTGTTAAATATATGTTTCAAATAACTTGTTCATCTCCTTATGAAGACTCTGGAATGTATAAAAATGTAAAAGCTGCTTCAATTTTCAGTCATTTTGAAACCGTTTATGGTTTATTATAAATACTTCTGTTTTTTATTGGAAAACTTAAATTTGTGAATTTATTTATTTTTTTAATTTTTTGAGTTTTTTCTTTCATTTTCACTCTTCCTGGTGTTTTTATTGTTTTGTGAGATTTTGTAATTGGAATAAATTAATCATAAAAAAACTGCAGAGTAATTTAATTACAATTACATGATTAGCAAACATGTTTTGTTATAAATTGAATTTAAACATTTTTCCCATGAATGTTGCTTTTCTGTCTTCATCTGGTGATTGTCGTATTTTCAGATACTTTCAAAACTGCTTAAATCTCGTAAAACAATGTAAGGTTTGCACAGCCTGATCATGTGCCTGATAAAATCTTGTGAATGCACAAATTGTTTTTGTAATTAGTGGCTACATTTAAAAAGCTGCATCCACTCCAAATGTTAAGACAAGGATTTGAAAAAAAAATATTCCATGTTCACTCAATTTTTATTCACATTTCAATAGTAGTAAAAACTTGAGAACTGTCATCAAAGTTTTTTGCTTGAATGAAAACGGTTCACTTGCAGACGCATCGCAAGCAAAACATTTGTGGAGTATCACTGATGAGCGGTGCAGGATGAGGTTATTGTTCAGGGAATCAATAATGATTGCAGTTTGTCAATTAAAGCTGCTTTTACTCTAATCCTCCAATCACTGCGGAAAGACCCCGGCATAAAGGGGAAAAAAGTGAATCGCTTTAATGCCATCTAATGACGTTACCTCCAAAATAGCCCCATACTGCTGGGAACAAGCTAATCCATCCCTGGCTCTTTTCTACTGGCGGTTTTCAAACTAGCCGCCACTCCTCCCACTCCAAAACCTCTCATGGAGAGCCAAACAATAGACACCTGCAGGAGCTGCCGTCATCCCAGCTTCCCAAAACAACTCGCTCATTAGCAGCGGCAGCACTGAAGCTCACTGTATTTTCACCGGTGATTAGTGGCGAGCTCACAATACCTTGCTAGCCTTCAGCTCTGCGGTGAGAGGTCATTCCAGCGTTTGCTGGGGCTTTCAACCGCTCATCACTTTCATGGCATGTGGTGTGATACGAAAACATGGCAGCTTCAAAGAACATTTAAAGTTATTCTCGAGTGTGTTGCTTGTACAAATCATCAGGATGTTGTGTGTATACTGCGTGTATCTCAACTGTGTACAGTGGTACCTCGAGATATGAATGCTTCGAGTTACGAAATGTTCGAGATACGAAAGGTCTCGCGGGAAATATTTCGAGATACGAAAAAAAAACCAGTTCTGCTCGATTATCCGCTTGTTAAGTCTGACGTCTTTCCTAGTGCTACATTTTACCATTGCAGACAATGCAAAACATTACGTATAGATGACCAATAATGTACTATAACATATGTTAGAGTCAAGGTGTCGTAAAAGAAATAACGTTTATAACGTGGAAAGTGATGTTCTTTAGCACAAGTTAGAGAAACCTGTGATGTGTTCATAGAAGCTCTCTCTCCAGTATGCCCGGTACGGTCTACACCATCTTGAAACCATGTTTGTGTCAGTAATTTGTGAAATATCTCGAGAAAGTTAACTTTCATACGTGGTGACGTAATGTTTTCTGCCATCCAATCTCCACCTTCTCCCCCACTTTGCCACATTGCCTCACTCGCAAGGTAAGGTTTCACATTTGTGTACATATGACGTATTTCGTAAGTGTTTTATTCAGTTTTATTATCATTTATTACATTAACAATGTGTTGATTGAAGGATTGAAGAAACGTTACTTGATTTTTCTCTGGTTTTCCATTTTTTTATCTACTTTTACTGTTGTTTCTTAGAGCCGTTGCATGGATTAGACGGTTTGCATGTAAACTTGCCTTGAGATACGAAATGTTCAAGATACGAAAGCTACCCTGAAATGGATTAATTTCATATCTCCAG